CCTAAGTTAGGGTTTCTCAAACTTGCGATATGTACATTTTTGGTTAGGTATTTTTTGCTTGGGGATGCTGTCCTGTACATTGTTGGTAGGATATTCAGCAACATCCTTAGGCTCCACTCTCTCCATGTTGGTAGTACCTCTTCATTACTGTCTTAGGACAACCAAAAAATGTTTCTAGACACGGCCAAATGTCCCCTTGGGACCAAAATTACCTCTGCTGTGAACCATTTGCCTAAATTAGTTTCTATAAGAAACTTCACGCAAATGAAAGAGCCTGATTTATGCCTTTCGGTTGTGTGAACAGTCCCAGGCTTTCCTCAGATGCATAAGACAGACCTGGAGACATTCGTAATTTTAAGAGAAATCAGAACCAGACCCGATCTTAACAGTCCCCTGTAGCAGTGTTTTTCAGAAATTTTTACTTGAAGATCTTTAAATTCTCTAGAGTTGGATCGGTAAAGGTAATCAGAAAATCACAGTATATCTTGAAAACTATTTCTTTGAAACACTGAAAAAGATTGATTCCCTCAGGACAGTTACAGGTTTATTGAAAATGATTAAAAGCAGGGAAAATATGACTAAGGACTAAGCCATACTGTGTATGTGTACATACGTGCAGGGAATTTCTTCTCTCTACCCTAACACATTGCCATCCATCTTCTTCATTCTTTTTTTCCAAACTCTGGTACCTAAAGAAAAATGGGATCTGTGCCAAGTAATGTGTCATGCCTCAGATAAAGTATATCTTCACAGAACATCAGTTTTACTTGATGGTAAGTAAAACAGTTTTATGGTAATACAAGCCTAAGTGTTATAGAGTAAAGGACATACTTTGCATAACTTTTTAAAGATAAAATCAGATTTTTGAGGCAGGCCATTTTATGGAAACATTTCTGTAGGAGTGGGAGTTAGAAGAGTTTTGAGAAGCAAATGATGAAGCATTCACTCCAAGTGAGCCTGTTCCACTTTGCTGAATAGCTTTAATTGTTACCACGTCTTATCTTAATTTTGAGCAAAAGTCACGTTTCTTAAATGACCATCATTAAAAGTTAACTGATCTTCATTCACAGTAGACTTTTTTTGTCCTTGGCAGAGTGTAGAAGAAAATGGATGTGTTTATCAGCTCCTTTCCACAATCTGAGTAACCCATGCATTTCAGCCATCCATAAAGTTGTTCCTGGACAAGGTTGCTGTCAACTTTATATATTTCAGGAACCTCAGGAATAGAGTGTGGTGTGACTAATTTCTAAGTACAGTGGAATGGAAACATTCCATTATCTGGACACTTAATTCTATTAATGTGGAGATTATTTCATATTTTTCCAGCCTCATTTAGATTTGTTGTTTTGGTTAACAACCTCAGCTCCCTTTGTTATTAGCTGTCTGACCTGATGGTTAGGCACCCAGACTTCTCAAATCTAAGTGTAAGAATTTATAAGTTTCATTACTGATTTCAGCCTAGTTTTCCTCATAAGTTCTGCTTTTATTATCTATATCCTTTTCATGTCTTCAATCTTTATAAGAATTTTGACTAATCTCATAAATATTAAAATCCTTTGAGCTCCCTACCGCATGCCAGCTACCGTGCAGGGTACTTAAAACACACAGATGAATAGAAATAAAAGTAAAATAAAGGATACAGATATTAGAAAAAGGTATACAGTGATAGGTATTAGAGGAATTTGGCTGAGTTAGGAAGGTGATAGATAATGGGCTTGCAGTGCTAGCCACTGATCAGAGCAACTCAATCCTCTCAACAGCCCTGTGAAGATTTTATTATCACACACAAGTTTTCTCAAAATTACCCATCTGATAGTGGTAAAGAAAATGGAGTTAATGGGAAAGCTTTCTAGCAGAGAAAACAGTTGGTTCAGTCATGTAGGAAACCCTCAGGGGAGTTCAATGGAATGAAAGCAAGTATAGTAAGTCCTCACTTCATTTTATTGGAAATTGGGGCTTCAAGTAAAACAAAATAACAAAAGTATGCCCTCAAAATGTTGTTCAAGGTCGTTTGTTAAAACATTGATTTGGGGGGGAAAATCCCTTCACATCTGGGATGGAAATGATCTTATTCAATAACCTGCTCTGTAACTATAGCAAAAAAGAAAGAGAAGGATTATTAGGGGGGAGGAGGGCCTAAAGAGGTACGGATTAGACCCAATAGCCAGGTCACATAAAAGATTTTGGTATTGTAAGGGCAAAAGGAAGTCAAGCAAGCAGGGTGGTAGAATTGTTAGTAACAATCTCTACTTGGTAAGGAAAGAACTTTGGGTACATTGGATTTAATGGTGCATAGAGCTCACGTTAACAAAGGCACTTAGGTAAGAGATAGGGAACACCTTTGGTCCATGAAGTAGGTTTGTGGGAAACTTGGCAGCTAAAATACAAAGGAGTTGGCTATGTCTTAGATCGGAAATTTGGGGAAAGGAATGTCTCAGGAATGATTTCCAGGTTTCTAGATTGTAGTAACTGATGAGTGAAGTCACAAGATAGGGAATAGAAGGTGCTAAGTTTGGGTTGAGCTGAGACATCAAAATAACAGGTAGGACAACTGGAAATATTAGTCTGGAACTCGAGAAGAGGGCCGTACTAGAGATTTTGTGTCTAGTACCTATTTTTGGTGGTGGGTGAGGATGAGATTGCCTGAGTTCTGCATTTAGAGTGAGAACAGTATGGGACAGAGTTGTGGAGTTCAACTTTTAATGGGAATGTAGTGGAAGATGAGCTTGCAAAGGAAACAAGATGTGAGAGGTAGGAAGGAAACTCTTTTCTCAGAAAAATGAAGGAAAGCAGATTTCAGTATACAGTGATGCTGCTAAAAAGTCAAGTAGAGTGAGAACAGGAATTGCCCTTCAGGTTACTGATACAGAGGTCATTGGTCACCTTAATGAGAGTTATCACTCTGGTAATGAGGGTAGAAAGTAGAGTGGGAAGAACTGAGTAGCAGGAGCAGAATGTGAATACAATCTAGTAAGTTTTTCGGTAGGATTTTGTTTTGCTGTGAGGGAAAGGAGGGAGATCAGTTGTTAAAAGGAAATTTGGAGCAATTGGTAGGGGCAATTTGGTTAAGAAAGACATTGAGGGCCTCTCTGGTGGCGCAAGGTGTTGTCTCAGCTCTCTGCAGCCACTGCAGCATGAGTTCAATCCCTGGCCTGGGAGCTAACCCACATGGAGCTGCAGACCTCTCCTGTTTCACTCGCTGCTCCCCTCAGCAGTGTATTTTCAGTCAACACACCTGTTCTGCTCCCCACTCTGTCTCTGGTGAATCCTCTCACACACACACACACACACCCTCCACACACACACATGCACCTCTGGCCTATATCCCAGTTCTTGGATGCATAAATAAAATAAATCTTTAAAAAAAAAACAACAACACTGAATATGCAAGAGAAAGCAATCATGGATTTTCTACATTACAGGAGAGAATCCAAAGTATAGACAGGATTATTCATACTCCTTTAGTCAGCAATTAATTGAGCAACTAGTATATGCTGAATTCTGTGATAGGTCCAGGGTATAGCAGTAAACAGACTCAACCCCTAGCCTTCTGAAACATTCTAGTAATAAGAGTAGCAATACATGTATAAATAAATAATTTCATGGCGGTAACTGCTATATAAAAACCTATGTGAGGAGTAAGTAGGAGAGAAATCTTCTGTACTTTAGTGTTGGACATTTTTTAGTTGTGAAGTACACAACATAAAATTTAGCATCTTAATTGTCTTTTAAGGGTACAGTCAAGTATATTCACATTATTATGCAACCACTCTCCAGAATTTTTTCATCTTGCAAATTGAAACTATTCCCATTAAACAAATCTTCCTTATTTTCATCCCCCCAGCTATTGGTACCCACCATCCTAATTTTAGTGTCTAGAAATTGAACTACCTTAGATACCTCACGTAAGTGGGATAATAAAGTATTTTTCTTCTTGTGTGACTGGCTCATTTCACATAGCATGATGTTCTCAAGGTTTATCAATATAGCATATGACAGGATTTCCTTTTTTTGACTGAATAATATTCCATTGTGTATTTTTAAGCAGTAATTTTCTAGTGTCAGTCCCCTAGTGAGTGGTACATTAGTATAAGTATATACTAGAAAATTTATTCACATCTTATCCAAATCTCAAGCTTATATGGGCAGTCTGTATTTTACCTGCCTAGCCAGAATTGAAAATCTTGGTCAATTGGAATTAAAATCTTTTTAAACTCTGGGACTCCCTGTTCCAGTGCTAAGTCTGGAAGTAACAGTAGCCTGTGGAATAGAGAGAGAATGTTAGAAGCAAACAATAAGATGCAAACAGAGCATAAAGATTAATGTATTGATAGGAATAAAGTTGGGCTTTGTTAGAAAGCTGTCGTTTCTAATGCTTGTCAAAGAGCAAAGAAAATCCTTGGGGACACCTAGTCATGGGGTCTGGCCTTGGCTCCATCACTGATAATCTTTGGACAAGCTGATCTCTCTGACCACCTGTTTTTACATATGTAAAATGGGAAAAAACACCGACCTGGCATGGTGGTTTGAAGTTAGGTAAGACAATGTCGTAGAAGCAGTTATCCCTAAACCCCTGTGACTTACTGTTCCTCTCCCCCATGCTTTTGCTGCTTTTCTGGGCTTTTAGGAAACAGGACCAGAGGAAGCCACAGGTATCTCTCCTAAACTTTTGTCTGTAAACTCCCCCGTTCATTGGCAAATTTCCACCATCTGGACTTTACTTGTGACTGAAGGTTTGGAATCTTGTTAAAAAATCAGTGTGCATCAAAAGGTGTGACCCGATTACAGTTGCTTGGGCTTGAGCTGGGAACAAGTTGATCCAGACAGTTAAGCGAGTTCGTGAGCACCCGCCTGATTGAGGCAACTGGCGGCGCTCACCGACGAAAGGCGCTCACCCGAGTCGCCCCGCCCCGTCCCAGAAGCTCCGCCCCCGCCCCGTCCCAGAAGCTCCGCCCCGCTCCGGGCCTCCTTTCTTTCCCGTCGCTGCCTTTCCTGCTGGGTCGTGGCCGGCGGCCCGGGGAGCGGGCAGCATGGGCGCGGGGCTCGAGCTGGGGCCGGCGGCGGGCGGCTCTCTGCTGCTGTGCGCCGCGCTGCTGGCCGCGGGCTGCGCGCTGGGCCTGCGCCTGGGCCGCGGGCGGGGAGCGCTGGACCGCGGCGCGCTCGCCTGGCTCTGCTACGACGCCCTCGTGCACTTCGCGCTGGTAAGTGCTCGGGGCCCGCGGTCTCGCCCGCCCCGCGGTCTCGCCCGTCCCTCTCCACTGGGCGATCCTGGAAAGCGCCGAGACGAGTGGCCCGCCCCCTCCCCTGCGGTGGGAAATCTGCGGAGAACGCGAGGTACCTGGAGCTGCACCCCTGAGTTTCCAAGTCTGTGAAAAGCACCGATTCCCTGGTGGTGCCAGTTCCTCTACCAGATTGAAAAACAAGACCCCTGAAAATGGTTGCTGCTGTAACGTAGTATGTTAGTTTGACTGTAAGCTACTCAGAGGCCCTGGCTTACTAGATTTTGCAACCTGGACAGAGTTGTTTTTTTTAAAGATTTATTTATTTATTTTATACAAGCACCGGATACAGTCAGAAGTGCGGGAGGGTGAGAGAATTCACCAGAGCCAGAGGGGAGAGCAGAGCAGGCAGAAGGACCGAAGTACACTGCTGAGGGGAGCAGCGGGCGGCAGGAGAGGTCTGCGCGCCATGTGGGACCCTCCTCCGGTGGCCGGGGAGCAACCGGGGATCGAACTGGTGCTGCAGAGTCTGCGGGCAGCTTCGCAACCCAGCGCTCAACCGCTGCGCCACCGGGGAGGCCCTGGACAGAGTTTTTGAAAGCCTCAAAGGGAGCAGGAGTGACGGGGTGAGAGGTGAGGGGAGCAGTGACTGACAACTAACTTAGCCAACTTGAGGGTCTGTGCCAAAGCAAACCCCCATGCCTTTAAAACAGTCACCATTAATTGGGTGAAACTGTTTAAAACTTCTTTACAACACCCCATAAGGTAGTAATGCCCCCATTTTATAGAGGAGAAAACAGTTCCTGCAAAGGTAGGCGACTTTCCAGTGCCACACAACTAGCATGATCCTGATTTAGTCTGGCTCCAAAACTTGTACTCTGTGTGTCATGCCAGACTTTAGAAACACATGTCCCTAAAAATCAGTCCACACCCCTCTCCACTTTTTTTGCGAAGAAGAACTGGGTTATAGGCCAGAGATGGGGCGTGAGAGGATTCACCAGAGACAGAGTGGGGAGCAGAACAGGCAGACTGAGTGAGATACACAGCTGAGAGAAGCGGCAGGCAAGGCAGGAGTGGTTGCTGTGCCATGTGGGTAGCTCCCTGGCTGGGGATGAACTCAGGTCTGGAGGTGATAGCACTGAGACTTACTCCTAGGCCAGCAGAGGGGCCCCCATAAACAATGCCCAAATACCTTTTTTTTTTTTTTCTGTAAATTTGACCTCAAATCTAGGTAAACCTATGGGTAATGTGAAGCCAAAGTTAGATAAGAGGTATTGATAATCTTTTAGATCGGTAGTTGTTAGTTTTGATGGAATGATGAGATTCCTTCTTACTCCAGGCAGCAGTGAATCTTTCCCTCCACTTTTTTTTTTTTTTTACAGAATTGATACAAGTTTATCCAAAGATCAAGGGAGGTAGATTATTTAGAAAAATTTATGTAATATATTTTATAGATACAAGAAAGGCATAAAAAGCTAAAACATATGCCCACGTGTACCCCATCTAGTTTAAAATTAAGTCTGCTTTTCATACCTAGACTGTAGCAGGTAACACTGCATACTTCTCCATTTGTGGTTCCTTAGGGTATAGACCGGTAAACTTGTTGCTCTACTCTCCCTCCTAAACTTGTTGCTCTACTCTCCCTCCCTGTTCTGAAGGAAATTTAGCCACATACGCCTACACCTTGTGGTATTTACCTATCCCAACTGCAAAATGATCCACTCTGAATACACTATATCTTAGTTCTTCAATTCCAAAATGCATGATTTTTTCATATATTAAAGCAATCATTGACATAACTGCTATGGGCCATTTTAGTGATATTTTAATGTCTCTAAAATGGAGATGTATCTTACAATTGATGAAATATGATATATGAAATCCCATACTAATGGGCATGTTTTCATTTGCTATTACATACATACAGTGAGTGCTTCAACCAGCATCTTTGAGAGCAGTGAAGAAGACACTTGAAGTAAGCAGATGAGGCCTTCAATAAAAATGCTTGCCATATTATCTGTGGTTGGAGTTTATTCCAGGTATACCCAGAAATGTGAGGTCAGCTGAAGTCAGAATGTGAAACCTTGTGGTGTTGAAATCACTTGTTTGTTCATACTACAGATGGTGAGTCACTCAGTAGGACAGTGTCAAGCCAGATCTTCCCAGAGATAGTTTATCTTCCACTTGTGCTTCATGGATTTCCCCCTCATCTGAGATCTAAGTATATCATCGTAGGCATGGCCAGAGCATGGAGGCAGGATGTATGGACTATTTTGGGGAAACATCTAGAATTCCAGATTGACTAGTACACAGGGTTACATGGGGAAGGAACACACTGGAAAGGAAGCTTGGGTGACAGTAAGGTTTTCAGTTTTTTTCTTTTTAAACATTATTTATTTATGCATACAAGAGCTGGGGTGCAGGCCAGAGGTGGGGTGAGAGTATTCACCAGAGACAGAGTGGGGAGCAGAACAGGCAGACTGACTGAAATATACTGCTGAGGGGAGCAGTGGGCAAGACTGGAGATGTCTCTTGTGCCATGTGGGTCAGCTCCCTGGCTGGGGATAGATCTTGGACCTGCCGATGTTGGCAATAGCTTCATAGTGCTGAGACTTATCCCCTGGTGCTACCAGGGAGACCCAAATTTTATTATTTTATTTTATTTTTTAATCATTGTTCATTTTTAAACAATATTTGCTTCCCCCCACCCCCTTAGGTGTTGTCCCCATAGAGTTTCCTTCACCAGTGCACCTGCGCACCATCACCTCAGTCCCCTGTGCTCCTCCCTCCCTCCCTCTGATCCCTCTCCTGCCTCCTCCCTGCAGTATGTCTCTGATTTATAATTGTCTGTTTTTACTTTGTTGTGTTTTGTACTGTTATTTTTTTACACTGATGTCTTATTTGGTTCCCCTGTATTCCTGCTATAAGTGAAACCATCCGATATTGTTCTTTTTCCTTCTGGCTTATTTCACTGAGCATAATTCCTTCTACATCCCTCCACATTGCTGCAAATGTCATGAATTTATCTTTTTTTGATTGCTGAATAATATTTCATTGAATATGTATGCCACATCTTCTTGATCCAGTCTCTATTTTTGGGCATTTGAGTTGTTTCCAGGTTTTACCTATTGTAAATAGTGCTGCAATAAACATAGGAGTACAGGTGTTCTTTTGAATCAATGCTTTTTGTGTCCTTTGGGTAGATCCCTAGCAGTGGAATTGCCGGGTCATATGGTAGCTCCATTTTTAGTAGACTGAGGAACCTCCAGACAGCTTTCCATAGTGGCTGGACCACCAGCATAGTGATTGCACTCCCACCAGCAATGTAGGAGAGTTCCTTTTCCACCACATCCTCTCCAAACATTTGTTGTTGCTAATTTTTTTGATATGTGCCATTTTTACCGGTGTAAGGTGGTATCTCAATGTGGTTTTGATTTGCATTTCCCTGATAATAAGGAATGTTGAACATTTTTTTCATATGCCTGTTGGCCATTTGCATTTCCTCTTTGGAGAAATGTCTTAAGTTTGCCCATTTCTTGACTGGATTGTTTACTTTGTTTTTGTTGAGTCATGTGAGTTCTTTGTACCGAATTTTATTCTGTAGTAGAATCCTTGAAGGATTAAGCAAGGAAGGAGCATGGTCAAAGCAGCTCCTTCAAAATATAATTTGGCAGTGGTGTGTTAAATCAGAAGCTGTGAAGTTCTGAGATTTTTCCCTTTGGACAAATTAGTGCCTAATTTAGTGATGCTCCAAGACTCATAAGGGAACATGGTGCCAGGTGGCACATGCAGTGGGCACATTACAGGAAAGGAACCCCCAAATTAGGATTCCATTGGTATGGGGCTACTGGTGACCCGCTTATATGTCCCTCTGCAGAGAGACTTTATCTTTACACAGGAATGTAAACAAATCTCTGGAGAGGAAAAGCTGAAGTCTTTACCTTTACTGCCTTTGAACATCTCAGAGGGATTCCCCCTCTGTGGTTGTTATCACACCCGCCCCCAAAACACCTGTAGCCTCCACTGTAGTCCACTGTGCTCCCTTCCTTTTTTCTCACCCCTCCACCTGCTGTGGTAGCCTGCAGGTTACTAAAGTTTGTTATTAGTTTGGTTTTATCTGGCCCTTTGTTTTATTTCTCTGTAGTCTACATATAAATGAGAGCATCTGGTACTTGTCTTTCTCCTTCTGACTTATTTTGTGTAGTGTAACTCACTCTACCTCCTTCCATGTTGTCACAAATGACAAGAGTTTATTTTTTTTTAATAGGTAAGAAGTATTCCATTGCATCTATATACCAAGTCTTCCTGATCCACTCATCGGTTTTGGGCACTTAGGTTGTTTCCCTAGCTTGGCTTTTGTAAACAGTGCTGCAGTGAAGATAGGAGTACACATGTCCCTTTGAATTAGTGACTTTGCCTTCCTCTGGTAGATATGTAGGAGTGGAATTGCTGGGTCATATGGTAGATCCATTTTTAATATTTTGAGACACCTCCATACTGTTTTTTATAGGGGCTAGATATTTCCACCATCCGTGCGTGATGGTTCATTTTTCTCCACATCTTTGCCAATGTTATAGAAATAAATTCTGGCCTTTTACCCAGGCAGAGGAAGAACAAGTGGTGCTTCAGGAATGGTGAGGTCAGAAAAAGCTTTATTACTCATGCATGAGGTCCCAGACCTGGGTAGCCCCGTAAGGTCTGAGCACAGGTTTAGAGACCAAAGATTCGCTTTATACACAGCTGTCTCCATATCTGTTACATTGATAGCATCTTTTGGGTACCAGGTGCTGTGCTGGACAGATAAAAAGTGGATCACCCTTATCCTCTCAGAGCTTATGGAATAGAGTTTTTCTCTTAGCGTTTGATATGGAGAGTAATAGCTACTCTGTCACTTTCAGCGTGAAACCCCTATGAGAAATTTCTTTTTTTCCTGAAAACTTTGTCTGTCTTTTCCTTTCTGATAGAACAATCCCATGATTCTC